AATATAATATTAAAAATAAATATATTATAATATTTAAAATTTAATTAAAAAATATATATTATATTTAATAAATAAAATTATATTTAATTAATAATTATAATAAATATATAATATTATTTTAAATAAAAATTATTTTAATTAAAAATTTTTACGTATATATAATAATTATAATTATAATATAATTTTAAAATTTAAATATTTATTTATAATAAAAAATAGCTATAAATATTAAAATTATATTAAATCTATTATTATTTTCTTAGCATATTTGTTTAAAATAATTTTTAAGATATAATATAATAACGGTAAACATTTTCAAAGACCCCCCCCGGGCGGTAAGGTATGATTTAAAGATGTATAAAACTTTTGACGAAGCCCGCTATAAGCCGCTTTAAACCGCGCTCGGAGAGTCATGTAAGCCTATCATCTGCTCGTGATTAGGAAGTAAGCTTCCATTAGGTACCTAGGTATTTCGTCTATTTTGTGGCGGGAGTGGCTTGAAAGCTATGCGGGCTGGCGGGGTGAGGCTTACAGTTAGAGTACCTAATTCCGCACATGTACTTAGTACTTCCTTTACCAAGGCATCTTTTACCTCCAAGGCCGGAATAATTAATTCGTACAAATTCCCACTCGTCTACAACTCCCGAGGTCAAATAGCATCTTGTCGGTTGTACCTATTGTAAACTCGAGAAATCATCATATATTTACGTCGAATATTATTCGCAATAAACAAATTCCGGCCATGTTGTAAATCCTCGAGAATGCAAGCGCGTATAGTTGCCATTCATCACTTAACAAAAGACAAGGCATTGATGGATCCTCCTAACAGATCCTCATGATCGTTTTCGACATCCAAGAATCTCACTAGTTTGGCATTTACAGCAGCATATCAAGTCGCCTATTTTCTCGTCATGATTTGCCTTGGCTTGATCTTTCTGCGACGCTATTCTCGCATGATAAGATCCAAATGAAGATCTACGTTTACACTCGTACGGACTGCCGGATAGCACACGGTCCTAGTGATCGGCGGTGATATTAAACAACGATATTAAACCATGTCGATATGTATCAACACCAAGCACTTTTATGTACGAAGCAGTGACCTTAACTTGTTATTCTCAAAAGCATCATTAATGAGAAAGGCTGGCTGTAAGCGCCTACACCGAAGCCATTCAAGCTTCTGATACGTTTCGTATATGTCCGTACTTTGAAGCTTGAAAGACACAGCCACTCTTCTTTCTATGTTCTGAAATCTAGATCACGACCTAATTGCTGTTCTGAGCCGTTTCTAGACTAGTCGTGTTATCGAGAGACTCCTGGCTGCAACCGGAAGTCTTATTTCCTTGGATGGTGAGCTGTCAACCCTGCATGACGCTTGGGACATTTGACATTTGACATTTACTGTTATTGTCTGTTTATATGTGGTGTACTTGTATGTGCGCTTCCTAGTCAATACCCCTGGTGTGTCCCTGTCTGAGGCTCGTTTGATCTGCCCCGTGCGACGTTTGGGTACTCCTGATGCCGAGAAAAGTCGATAACCTCAAAGCGGCCAAGAGATCCCCACGCATTCTTGGCATCTCAAGTTTCAACTCTAATGATTCCCAAGGATCTCCTAATTGATCTCCCCGGTGCCACTCCAAATCTGGAGTGCCAGATCTGCGATTTTGTCAACACCGCTTGTATGATCTACAATAGGGACTCAACCGGTCATCTTATTCTACCTCGCCCCATGTTTTGAGTGGGACGGAATGTCTTCTTGACGTGTTTGGTCTCAGTGGGTCTACAATCTCGTCAACCCAATCGGAGCTTCACTTACATGCCTTGTTCCCTGTGTTTCTTAAGAGCTTTTTGATATTGGTGTTATAACGTCTTAACGTACATACATACACTACCTTAAATCAAGCTATGTCATGTTTACAAGCATCATTTGTGACCATGGGGTTAGCTGCCAATTAGTTAGAATGTAACCGTCTATCACAGACCTTGCGATGCCACGTTAATCAGGGATAAGATAGTCGAGCTCATCCAAGGTTCGACAGACTTCAATTGTCCATAAAATGCTCGCCTCCCCGTGCTGTTCAATCTGATCTTATTTTCGTTTCTTCACACATCCACATCAGCCTCAACCGTCAACCTTTCCTTTCTAGGTCGTTTCTTGTTCTTAAGAGGTGAGTTAAGTCGAATATCCAACATGGTCTGGTCTAAGCTAACTGTATGAAGCTGTGCTCATACCTTCTTTTACGCTGTATTATTTCGTCACTTGACAACTTTATTTCAACCTTCTTTATTTTCTGTTAAGTGTCTGGACATACACTCTTTTCAACATGAAGAACTTCGGTGCTATTTTGATGGCCTTGGCCACAGCCGCCTCTTTCGCTGCTGCCCTACCAACCCAGCAACCTCAGGGAGCTCTCCAAGCCCGTGCCCCTCGAGAATTCGGTATGCACCGTTCTAGTCATCTTGGCATCAACAGTACTAATCATATACATAGCTTTGGATGTTAGATTCCCCAAGAAGAAGCATCACCAGGGCGCTGCCAACAACGGAACTGCTGCCGCCATTGATGCCGGAGCCGCCAACAACGGAACTAGCAGTGCTGTAGGCGATGCCAACCAAGGGGACGGCAAGAAGGGCAAGGGTAAGGGCAACGCTCAAGATGGACAAAATGCCCAAGCCGCCGCTGCTCAGGATGGCCAAAATGGAACTAGTGCAGATGCCGGTGCCGCTGCAGGCGCTGATGCAGGCGCTCAAGCTGGTGCAGACCAACAACAAGGCGGCAACCAGCTCACCGACTTAATCGGAAACCTTCTAGGCGGCGGTGCTGACGGCGCAAACCCTCTCGCGGATCTTCTCGGCGGCGCAGCAGGCGGTGACGCTGCTGCTGGCGGTGCCGCCGGTGATGCTGCTGCCGCGAACCCTCTCGCAGGTCTCCTCGGTGGTGATGCTGCCGGTGGTGCTGCCGGTGCCGCCGGTGGTGCCGCCGGCCAAGTAGGTAGCCTTTTACAAGGTCTCTTAGGAAAGCTAGGAGGCAACTAAGCGCCTTCCAACTCTTAGAAGAAGGGTATCTTGTAAATTTTAGGTCATAGATGGGGGTAATCAGGACTTTCCGGGATTGTTACGGCTAACGACGGATGCAACGGCCGGGGATCTTCTAGCAAGTCTAGACATGTTGATCGGGTGTACTATTATCACCACAGGAATCTGACATGTTGTGTCAGGGGTTGATTTGGAGTTTTCCAACTGCGCCTTTTTAAAGAAGTTAGCAACAAGAACGCCAATAATAGAAAGTTGTGGATGTGGGAAACAAATTTTATCGGGCTTTCGAGCCTGTTCTAGTGTCATTTGTGAATGTGTTCCGCCAGTTGCTATTTTGCCCGAGTTAAGAGCAAGCTCCTATTTCCTTGGTGGGTTACTTTCTAAGAAGTATAACGTCTGAAACATGCGAATAGTATAAAAATAATACACAAAATAAACTTTATCTAACGATAGTTACTAATTATTAAACTTTTTATATAATACTAAAATAGTTTAATATATAAAAGACCCTTCCGTAAGCGCTTACGCGGACGAGTAACGCAGCTAGTTTGAATACTTCGTACATCATACAACAATCCATCCCATTATCATTGTCATAATACTCTTCAACTTCTCACCACCCCTTTTCTTTAACCGCCCTTTTACCCTCTCGAGCCCCTTGTACATCATACACCTACTCAGGAACCCAATCATCATGACCGTCATGAATCCGTTAATATGCAAAAATATTACACCGGGGCCACCAGTTATAGTCACTGATATCCGTACTCTTATATAGGCTCATCCCTGGGCTCAATCAGGACCTCGTTAACAGCAACGTGCGCGGGCTGACGCAGGGCATAAACAATAGCGCTAGCAACCTCCTCGGGGTGGAGGACCTTGGCGCCAGTCGGTTCGCCGTACTTCTTAATAGCCTCGGCATCGGTAGACATATTAAGGAGGTCGGTGGCCGTGTTTCCGGGCTGCACGGAGGTGACGCGCAGGCCGGACCCAGCGGTCTCGAGTCGTAGGCTCTGCAGTGTGGCCTCTACGAAGAATTTGCTCGCTGAGTACACGCCCAGTCCCGGGAACACTTTGCGGCCGGCATCTGACGAGATGGCGACGATGTGGCCCCCGCCGCGGGATAGCATTGACGGAACCGTGGATGAGAGACAATGCAGAAGACCCTTGCAGTTGACGTCGACGGTACGTTCCCATTCCTCCGTGTGCACGTTTGCCATCATCGTATAGTACATGACACCGGCGCAGGAGACGAGAATATCGACAGGGCCAAGCCTTTCCGTTGTGGTCTGTATGAGAGACTCGACCTGTTTTCGGTCTGTAACGTCTGTCTTCTGTACCAGCACTTTGCTTCCAGAGTTAGAGAGCTTGTTCTTGAGATCCTCGAGAGCCTCGGTACGTCGAGCGGCGATGGCCACATGAGCGCCTTCTCTAGCTAAAGCAGTAGCAACGGCGGCACCAATACCTGACGATGCTCCCGTAACGACTGCGACACGCCCAGCTAGCGGGCCTCGTTTCGAGTTTTTGGCGACTCCATTGGTTTGGATCCGTCGTGGAGCACGTGGTAACCAACCCCGAGCACAGAAGTGCCGAGTATAAGTCTCGAACAGTTTGTGGTCAATCTTAGGACGTTGGAGGCCAGTCTTAGCGAGAGCAGGCTCCGTTGCCGGATCTTTGAGGACGGTGACCCATTTCAAGAAATCAACCGTAGGCATGCCGCGACGGAGAATGTCAACTGTAAAAATGCTGTCTCCCTTGCTAGATCCTCTCTTTTCCTCCCACATGCCAACCCATTCGTCCCATCCAAGCGGTTCTGTGGGGTATCCAAGTTCGCCAAGGATTCCAAAGACCTCCTTGGTTGGTACTGGAGATGGGTCACCCAGATGGAATATGCGCTGGTCCGTATCCACGAGATCAGCTAGGGACGTAATCGCCTGACTGACGAAATCGACGGGAGTCATCTCAGCATACCAGCCTTCGATGTCCGGAGCGTGTCCTAGTTGCAGCGACTCTACGATCAGGGCGTTAAGGAGATCGTATGTATTTGATGACCCCGAGACACTATGGCCACTGATAGTTCCTGGACGATATATCCTCGCTGGTAAACCCCGTTTCGCAGCCTCGAGGACGAGCTGCTCTGCCACCCACTTCGTCTGGCCATATCCGTCTATTAATTTTTCAGGCACCTCGTCTACATCCAACATGGCGTCTTCAGACCAGCCTTCAACGGATGGCGGCAACACGCCATTAGTAGAGATGTGATGAACAGTCGCCCCTCCTCGGCACGCGAGTCGCAGAATTTCTCTCGTACCAAAAACATTAGCTCCCTGCATAGCAGCATAAGGATATACGAGGTTGACCGTAGCAGCCGAGTGAATGATAACCTGCACGCGGGAAGCCAAATCTTCAAAGCTTTCGGGTGAAAGACCGAAACGTTTCCGAGCCAAGTTTGACGGGACAACCTCTATACGGTCTAAAATTGAGTCGTTCCAGAGACCCAAATCGAGGAGGTTCTTACGAACTCGCGCTACTCCGGCGGAGTAGTTATCTTTTGAAAGATCCGCGAAACGAACGAGACATACGACCTGTGCCGAAGTAGTTTCTAGAATAGTGCTAAGTAGGAATGCTCCTAAGAATCCGGTCGTACCGGTGAGCAAGATCGTATCTGCGTCGCTAATTCGCTGCATCTTAGCTTCCGAAGGCTTGATCTCAGGGGGAAGAATAGAGTCCGCGCGCAGAACGGCAGGTAGATCAGCCTGTACAGATGCAGTATATCCATCACGCGCATCACAGACAACTTCCAGGTGTCCCTTTAATGTCGGGTTGCCAGCAAGGCGACTCAGAGCCACGGGGAAGCCATATGTGCCAGTGAGTCTTGTAACGAGGTCGACGAGCGCTAACGAATGGCCACCCAGATCAAAAAAGTCATGCTCCTGCTGCATTATAGATTTATAAGGGATATTAAGAGATGCAGCCCACATCTTCGCAATATCCTCGATAGTAATTTTCTGGTTGCGATGCTGGGGTGCCAGCGACGACGCAGGGCTTCGCGACCTGGTCGGCGAGGGAAGGCGTTTGAGATCAACTTTTCCGGACACTTCGTGAGTAGGCAAGCTATCTAGTTCAACCCAAAGGGCCGGAATCATATAATGTGCGAGGTGGTCCGACAGAGCGCGCCGTGCAACCGGACTGAATCCGGCCTCGTCAATTTTTACGACTGTTCGATCACCAGACTCATCTTCGTCCGGAACAATATAAGCGAGAAGTTGGCGATCGAGGCCGTCCCCATGAGCGACCACGGCACAGTCGCGGACTGCGAGGTGTTTTATTATTGCATTTTCGACAGCCGGAGGCTGCACGCTGTAACCCCTAATCTTGATCATTGCTCCTACACGACCAGTAATTTCAAGAAGCCCTGAAGGAAGTAACCGCGCCGTATCTCCAGTCCTGTACATTCGTGCGCCGGGTGTCTGATCAAAGGGGTCGTCGGTGAAAGCTTTCGCGGTCGCCTCCGGTAGGTTCAGATACCCTCGTGCCAAAAGTTTTCCTCCAACGAACAACTCGCCGCTAACGCCCGTCTCAACCTTTTTGCCATCCTCGTCAAGGATGTATGTATGCTCCGGGTCCAGGGGAGGACCAACTGGAACGACACGAGCTTCGTCATTAACCATATCCCTTATGTCTCCACAAGCGATTTCGTGGGTTTCGCTAGCACTATAGCAATTTAATAGGCGTGCCTTCGGGAGCGCTTTGAGAGCACGCCGCGCAAGGTCAGTTGTCACAACTTCACCGTTAAGCCATAATGTACGCAGATCCGGAAGACGGTCTCCGAGCTGTGAGTGTCGAGCAAGGACTGTTGCGAGCAGAGTAGGTGTCATGAGAGTTTCCGTGATGGTCTTCGAGCGAAGTAATTTAACCAGAGCAACGGGGTCGTAACTGGTCTCATCGGGAACAGTTACTACGGTCGCTCCGCGTAGTAACGGACGTAATATCTCCCAGACGAAGAACACATTGCAGGCCACACGGTCACCCGGTTTGACATCATTGACCCCAAATCTTAAGTCATACGATAAAACAGCTGCACTATGTGGGTTTGCAATCCCTTTGGGTTTTCCTGTAGTGCCAGATGAGTAGGACACGAAGGCAAGCTTCTCTAAGTCATCTTCGGCGGGCAATGGGGGTAGCGTCTTCGACGTCCCATTCGACAGAGCATCCCCATCTTCATATGAACTTTTATCGTCAAGAACTATGAGGGGAGTATTATAGTTGATCTTGCCAGAATGCGCCATGTGTGTTATTATCACGGTAGGTCTCGCATCTTCGATAACAGCGGCCAGGAGACTCGGAGGGTACGCAAGCTCCAGGACTAAGAATGCTCCGCCGGCACGGAGAGCAGCAAGGCAGGAAATAACATAATCTGCACTCCGTCCAAGCAAGATGCCGACAAGAGAATCTCGACCAACTCCGTCGTAACGAAGACGGGTAGCAAGTGCATCGACCTTGCGGTCGAGCTCGGCGTAAGTCAACGTCGTAGGTCCATCTTCCAGGGCAACGGCATCGGGGGTAGCCTTGACCTGTTGAAGGAATAGGGCAGATAGATCTTTGCTGGTATCGATGACAGTCATCTTCCCACCCTTAGCTAACCAAATCGAACCCTAATACCCTGAAATCGAATAAGGGATGAGGAGTCCGGTCGTGCAAACTATACAGCACACCCTCAAAGCAAAAGCACGTGACCACTTGATTTCGATAAAGACGGCCAGCTCAAGTGTTAATAAAAGCCAAAAAGTTCCTATTTCGTATATACGGGTCCAGTGGAACACAAGGGCGGCCCGGCAGTATACTCTAGAGGGTCTCGTAGAGGGTCACTTGGATTAGACTACCTCTTACATAGATGTGAAGCAGAAAAAGTTATCCGAGGATCTTGAGGAGATGTGGAGCGAGAGTTTGCAAGGCTTACTACGTATCGCAGTGTAGCTAGTACCTTGGACCAGTGCCGTAAACGGAGCTTTCCAGGGCTTATTCGTGTATCGTCGGAAGCCTAATAGAAGCCAAAAGAAAGCAATAAGGTACATAGAACTTTAGCTACTACCTGCCTACATCTACCAATGCATACTACCTCTGTATAACTAGCGGTGACGGGGATTCGCTGGCTTTTCTTAGGTACAGTACACGTTTACAACAACTACTACAGAATAATGGCCACTGGCCAGCAAACCGATGGGGATGATCCGAAATATAACAAATTCACACCGACATGTCCTATTCTCGACTATTCTGGCCAGTCCTAGATTGCCAACTCGCTATCATCGCCTATCATAAGCGCCCTGCGTACGAATAATATGTAGGCGTCTCGGTTGCGAAGCAATCCTCTCCAATACATACGTAATAAACCGTAATAGATCGACCGAGGGGTCTATCTTAACTCGGGATGGGAATCCCTAATTTGCCTCAAGCCTGCTGGCTTTTAACAATAGGGTGTGTGGCGGACGCGGGCGGCTCGTCGGCGAGTATAAAAAGCCACGAGCAGGGATGGCCAGGGGCAGTTTTCCCAAGCGAACGGTGAGTGGACACGATTATACCAATAGATAACGAAGTCTAGACGGTCTAGTCTCGATAGTCTAGAAGCCCAGAAGCCTCAGAGCCCGTCTGGGTGGAAACCCCCACTTAATCACATCATCACTTTGTTTTTTTCAACGGTACAAAAGGCTTGCAGGTTCTCTTCCACCCCCCCAGCCCCCCACCTCCGTCTGCAGACCCGCCGCATACCGACGACGATCGGGGTTTGGCGTCGGTGACCTCGACCGGTCGGGCTCGTCCTCGCCAAACTGATCTAATACCTACCATATCTCCGCCATCCATCACGAACACGTGTTATCATCCATTGTCGCTAGTCTTAGAGCCACACATACATATACCAACTAGCAACTCGTAACACTATACGACATACAAGATCTATAATTCATCAGTACAATCGTAAAAACAAGGGAAGGAAAATAGTGTATTGATAACTACCTAAGCACTATCTATCTTAACCTCGCTCCTTTCCTTTACGCAACTTCCAAATAAAAAAAATGCTTATACCCGTATATAAGATTTATTAAGGGAATACAACTTAAGTAAGGGGCCCCGCGCACGAATCGTGGATCGGGCATGGGGTATATGCCACGACACAACAGGGCTGACGGCTTCACCGTAACTACCTAATGTAAAAGATCTCACATCCCTACGAAAAGATATAATACCTTTTGATATTATACAGTCTTATTCGTACTAGCTCCTGGGGCGTGTCGCTAGCTACAATCTTACTTAAGACTTACTATGTATTAGCATCTTAGGTAGGAATGCTATAGTTGTCAAAGCTTAAAGCAATATCTAGAAGTTGTGAAAATGCCCCGCGAATAAAGTTCATAGGTAGGTAATCATTTAGTTTTACTCACCGGTGAGCACAAGTCTTTGTACCAAACCTATTGACCTAGACGTTGAATTACCTGTTGTAGTGGAGGTGTAGGTATTGTTTTATCTTAACCACGAGAACATTACCTTTGAGGTGACTTGACCAATCATAGTAGAGATGTAAATGGAAACGGAATATATCTCGACAGCCTTGGTCGTGTGCTCGTGAGGCTCTTTTAATTATATTATATGTAGGTACCTAGTCAATTATGTTTATAAGCTTCGTAGAAGCCAACTTTTACCAATCACCTAGGTTAGTTTTTCGTGCTCAGCATGTCTTATTTAGTTATTGGGTATATATACTTTTTAGAAAATAATCTTGACTTAAAGCAAGCTAGTAAGAATATACATAACTCATGCCATCGACTTTTAACTCTAATGCTTTAGTTGATGCTACCCGGCTACCACAATGATTGCTTCAATTAGCGAACTGGAAACAATTGATAGGTATCGCATTTCAGCCTTGAAAGTATGGCGGTGCTTTTACTTCTGGCACTTATAAGACCTATCAAGCTTGACTTGATGTTGACTTAATATTGACGATATTATAACTCTGAAGGGCTGCTGCCAACTAGAACAAATACTTACATTCACGTACATAAATATGCCGCTTTTAAAAGCAAAGCACATGCAAAGGTCAACCGTAACTCGACAAGAATGATGTAATAGACCATAGTTATATTATCACTAAATAATAGTTTTAACTAGAGCTTTTGAAGAGTTGTATCTTAACTGGTTATGCGGAGGGGAGAAATTGATATTACATTTGTATATCGATAAGAAATAAAAACAACAGCAATAAAAAGGAACACAGTGCATACATACTGGTTACCAGAGGCTACTTGCATGTTCAAGCCGCAAATTTGTGCAGCTTGCATTGTCAGACCGTTATCGTTACATCAGGTGATTTAGAGTACCGAGCGCTTGCATACACATCCCATACCAGCCGAGAGAGCCAAGCCTCCTAGTCTTACAGGGATGTCGCGTTCTCACCAGCGCGAAAATTAGCGCTCAGGCAGCAGCGGCGGACAATTATTACATACAACTTACCAATACGAACGAACCTGAAGTCCGAAAAAACAGGATTTAGAGATATCATCTAGGACTACGCCATATGATTTAAATCATATCAATATCGCGAGGAAGAAAAGTTTAAGTTGTAGTATACGGACTCGACAAGTGCACCGACCGCTGCATTGAACTCTGTAAGAAAAAGGGTTATCAATGAGTCATAGGTGTTGCCAAGAATGGATGCATAACAAGGAATTTTTCTTTGGTTTGTCTGGTTGGTACGTAGTGGTGCAGCTGAATGAGGCTGGTAGCCGAGGGAGGATTTTCATGAAAAATTGAAAATTTTCAATTTTTTCTTTTAGGTAGAAAATGATGCGTTTGGCCACTGGCAGGGATTTGCCTGAAGGCTACTGTGCACTAGAACAAGGTCCTTGCCTTGTGTACCGATAGAATACGAAACCACAAGAATGGATACCAAAACAAGGGGGGTTTGAACACGAGTGAGATCGAATATCATGTCGTTCAGTTCTCAACCAAAGCGATAACGCACATCCCCAAAGGAGAAGTGCGAAGATGATAATTTCTAGCTTTTCGATCAGGTTATTCCAGCGAACTCAGCTTTGAGAAACGCAAAGTTGTTAGACGAGCAAGACTCTTGTACGGGTTTCCATTCCTAAAAGGGAAAGGCGTCAAGAAAAAAACAAAAACAAAAGGAAAAATGACAAGAGAAAAAAAATGTGTTGGTCAAGGGTGGCGTTTTCCGATTGCGAGCGACTGCGGCTGGTACCTCCGAAACCACCGAAATGAGACCTACAATTGATCCACGGAAAAGGGATCATCACAGCCAAACAAAGAAAAGAGGGATAAAATAAAATTTGTAGGATGCTCGAGTGCGACAGCAGCACAACCTAACAATTTGCCGTCTCGTTTACCTCGTTTAGGTACTCGCGGGACGGAAAAGAAAGAGCTTGTTAATCCACGTAATCCTCTCCTGAACCATTGTTTGGGGTTTTCCATTCGCGATAAAATGTGAACAGATATGCATTCTTGTGGAGGCTGAGCGAAACCTGCGATACTGGCCAAGCGTCAATCAAAACACAAAAAGCATGATAATAGGGGTAAAAAGAGGAGGCGTTGTGAATGCGTTTCAGGGAGAAAGAAGAAGGCTAGGGGTGGGCAGGTAAACCAGGCCTCGCAGGGTGTGGTATGGTTGGGGTCTAAAACTCCGTCCTGCTCACACCCACCCGTCAATATTTTAGGAGCCTGGACTGGTGGCTATCCAATAGCTCCGGGCCCAGTGCGAACTGCTAGCCGTAAAACGGACTGACGATGCTTCTGCGTAGGTTGTGGATGTAATCGACCGAATCATGGGTTTCTGCAGCCACGAAAGCAGGACGCAAGTTCCGTCGATAATATAATATTGACCTAGATATTAGGTAGTAAGTATTAGAATAGACGAGAGCAAGGTGCGAATGAGCGTAAGAAAATTTCGTCAAGTCGCGTAGGACGTGGAATAAGTAGTGTTTAGTGTTTGATACGGACGCGAAAGTGGAAGGTTGCGTGGATGAAATAGTGCGATGACGAGGAACATGAGAAAGACTTGGTAAGAACTTAGAGTACGGGCAAGGAAAGAAAAAGATTAAGGAAGATAAAATAAGGGACAAGCGAGGAGACATGATTGGATGCATTGATGCTAGCGTGTCCGCTAAGGAAGGGAAGCAGGGAGCAGTGGATAGTAGGTTTCCGCCACACTGGGGCGTACCTACCTAAAAAGTCTGTGCGTACTTGCACGAGAGCGCTTGCCTCCAAAAATTATAAATTGCCCGGCTTCCCCTCAACATCAATGTTTCGAAAATTCTTGCGCGCGGAATCCCCGACCCGAAGGTCCCCTCTCCATAATCCTTCTCAGCCACAAACAATAAGTGCATTAGCCACAACGGACCTTTTGTCAGCAATTGCCTGTCAATTGAGTCTGACCCTCGTAATATTTTTATTTTTTTTTATTCACTCTCTCATAACCGCGTCACCATTGTTGGTACCCCCCACCTTCCTTCTAACAGTGATTGAGAGAGTACGTACCTTACAATACTTATCCTACATTTTACCCCGCGTCCTTTCTCATTTCACTCCCATCACTTCAACGTCACACCGCGGACTACTGTTAGCTACATCGTCTGCTTTGGGACCGAAACCATACCAAGTTATCATCGTGTATCGCGCTTGTTCGCTAAATTAGGCAAACAGGCGACACAAAGTAAAAATCGGAGGTGCCATCCTTTAGGTTGGTCCTTTGTTTACCAGTTGCTCGCCTATCTCAGGATTCAAGCATCTGTATCAGGAAGAGTAAACCCGCGTCTCACCTGATCTCGAGCATATTTCACACGCACGGATCACGGTGCTGTGTAGCCAAGAAGAAGAAGATAGATCAACAATAGAAGACGAGTTTTGAAGAAAAACACAAGGCTGAGGATTTGCCTTCCCTCGATACCGTCGTTGCGAGAGACCGAGTTTCCACCGCCGTCGTTGTCGTCGAATCCTATCTTAGATCCCTCGACCTCGACAGTCACTCATATCTTGCGCTTCGAATCAGTGGGAGCAAAGCTCACGAACTTCTCCGATATCATCGAGGAGTGACTTTTGACATCTGATATCTACATCTCGTGTGTGTGCCTTCAGGTTAACCGATCGAAAGATCCAACGACCGTATCGTCGTATCAGCCTCTACTGTGTTGGGGGTGTTGGGGAGACATTGACTTGTTTATCTCCAACACACTAATTGGTAAGGCTGTCTATTTCTTTTTTTATTTATTTGCCCCAGTACGAAGTCAATTTCTTCGACACCATGGAAACCGAACATACCTGTAGAAAACAGCCCTGATTGGGTATCTTAACTGCCTCATTCCCACTTCCGATATCAATCATCAATCACTCAGTACCTGACAACCTGACAACTTGACAACCCCCCACTTCTACCTGCCTCGCGGTCGGTCCGTTGCCCCTCCTCGACACCTGATTCATCGATACCTGAATCACCAATTATGATGGCACCAATTATTTTATTTTTTATTTAAACCCAGCCTCAATCTTGCATCTTCCGATTGTTTCGACAATTTCTATTTTTATCTCTACCAAATCTTCTACTGGTTGTGTACCTGTTTGGCTTCGGTGCGCATTGACTCTTTTAAAACTATTTTTCTAACCGCTTGGATCCCATAGGTCTATTCTTCTGACTCACTCAGCCTTAAAAAGCTTGAGCGTGCATTTGCAAGATGGAAACCATCCATACCCACCCGTCTACTGCCGCACAGGCCAAAGCCTTTACCGCGCCTGGTTCTCTATCCTTCCCCGGGGGTGCTGGTGATCTCACACCGCCTTCGTTCGATGCTGAGAAGGCTAACGGCCAGAGACCCGTTAACGGCGCGCCTCAGCAGGCTGCAAACGGTACCGGGGTGACTCCCGCCACACCCGCTGCTACACCTGCGGCTGTCCAAGGAGGAAGTGGGTTAACTCCTACCTTGCAGTATGTATAACCTATGTCGCATTTTTATAGACATTAAACTTACCGCGCATGATAAAGGAATATCGTCGCAACTGTCAACCTTGAGTGCCGGTTGGATTTGAAGACGATTGCCCTGCATGCTCGCAACGCCGAGTACAACCCAAAGGTATTGTAAACCCAGTCATTCATTATTTAGAAGACTCTGCTGACGAACACCAGCGTTTCGCCGCTGTTATTATGCGTATTCGTGAGCCAAAGACAACAGCGTTGATCTTTGCTTCAGGCAAGATGGTTGTCACTGGCGCTAAGTCGGAAGATGACTCGAAGCTCGCCTCGCGTAAATATGCTCGTATCATCCAGAAGCTTGGTTTCAACGCCAAGTTTAGCGATTTCAAGATCCAGAACATTGTTGGCAGCTGCGATATCAAGTTTCCTATCAGACTTGAGGGTCTTGCTTCGCGCCATCACAACTTCAGTTCTTACGAACCTGAGTTGTTCCCTGGTCTAATCTATCGCATGATTAAGCCCAAGATAGTCCTTCTGATCTTTGTGAGCGGCAAGATAGTCTTGACCGGCGCCAAAGTCCGAGAAGAAATCTACCAGGCATTCGAAATGATTTACCCTGTCCTGCAAGGTAAGCATTACCAAGTCTGTGCGTGTATTCTGTTACTAATATCATCCAGATTTCCGCAAGGTCTAGAGTCTTTTAACACGTTGACTTCATGGTTGACACGTGTTCTTCGAGTCACACCTTTGTCATCAGACTCTTTCCATCGGTTCCCATCCGGGATTTGTAAATTTACCGACTCCTTATGATTTTATGAATCTTCGCCTTACGAGTCACGACGTCGTTCTGGGCCGACCAAAGCCCATGGACTTCCGTCAATTGTATCATTGTCGTTTTCCAACATTGCATTGCATCGGCGTTAAACATAGGAAGGTCCTACTACACTGGAAGGAAATAAGGATGATTTCACATCACAAGGAAAAAAAAAAGAATAACCTCTTCAGATCCGGATTGGCGGCTTAGATTGCACCCGTGATACTTTCCGGCGGCATTCGCGCAGGTCGATAGTGCCGTATTAATTCGACGCATAAGGTTAGGGCTATACGGTTGGTCGTATGGCGTCGGTGGAGGCTGTGATACCCCGAATTGCCCGTCAGTATCGGTGGTTGCGTTACGAGGGTGGTAATGAGGTGGACATGGACTATCTCGGCGGCTTCGCTCCGCAGAGCTTGAGAACAAGGGTGATCTTGGCTGTATGCGTCATGATCCGTCTGGACATTTTAGTAACGTCTCACGTACTCCTCACGGTCCTTTATGGAACATCGTTTGGACTTCAGATGGATTATCATCACTTGAGGTTCTTCCTTAAGTAAAACATACATCTTTTCACCCATTGCGTTGTCATTAGCACTCGTGTCTTTTGATTCGTGATCTTCGTTATGTGATTTTATGGTTAAATTAGATTCGTAAGTTTATTTTTTCATTGCGTCTTGTAATGTTAGTCCCGGTTGTCCGCCCCGGCTGCCATCCTCTGTTGCTATCAACTCAGTATTTGAGGATCTCCATTCCCATTTTCTCCGAAGCTCTTCGGGGCATTTTCCTGTAATAGAGTCTACTACTTTATCACCAATAACAGGCAAGAATTTGAATGCGTGCCCGCTCCCCCCTGTAGCAACGAACAAGCCTTGCCAATATGGATGGTAATCTATTATCCAGTCTCCCGTTTCGGTATCTGTATACCAACAAAGTCGAGTTCGGGAGAAAGGTCGGTTTTGTAATTCTGGCCAAGGTATTATTTTCTGTAAACCATCTCGTAGTACTTTCTCGGCGTCCTCTGGAATCGAGAGACCTGCATCGTCGAGATGCGTATACGGCTGTGAGATCAGCTCCGGCGTTGCCGAACCGGGAACTCCTAGGGGCGGTTTTGACACCGGTTTGGGATTCAGATATCCATATGCATGCCTCGCAATCTTGAGCACACGATTGCGCGGAGGTATCACGAAGAGGCCCGTCGATACATTTAGCATCACTGGAACCTTTTCTAGCCTCTTTTGCTCCTCTTCGGTGATGTCCATATAACCTAGAACCTGGCCGGTGGCCACGGCCTGCGTTGAAAGATCTACCAGCGTAGGTGTCCAGGCGCCCGCGGCGACGACTACGAGATCGGCTGATAGCGTGCTGCCGTCCTTAAGTCGCGCCCCGGTAACCTTCCTTAACGATTCGTCTGTCTCGAGGCTTTCGGCTGTCCCGTTGACGAAAGTTACACGACCCGTTGCAGTGACACGCTCGTAGTACCACTTCATGCTCGCTTCAGCGTCTGCCCAACCACTCGCGGTATTGAGGTATCCCCAGTAAGCGAACTCGCCTCCCGTGCCAGATACCACTGTGTCAGTAAGTCAATATTTATTCTCATTTTAGTATGGCGTTTGGAGGGTTTAAAGTATAAGAATAAAATCTCCCGAATTAGCCCGAGGGGAAAAGGGGCTTTCGACGTTACGTACCGCCGACAGACCACGGGTTCTTCAAAACGCGAATTGAGCTTAAAGGCCGTCCTTCCTTATGCGCGAGCGCCATTGCATTCACCCAGCTTTTCTTAGCATAGGCAAGACCTGTTGACGTCCCGTTATCACGCACTAGCGGCTCGGAGTCGGCTCCTAAGATGAATCCGGACTCAGTGTACCGTCCCTCACCACCGAGAGAGGCCGGATCGGTCTGCCGCCAGTGAGCTTGTGCCTCTGATGCTAACGCTGCGTAGACCGGGTCCGCATAATCGGCACGGATGATCCTCGACGAGTCGATAGAAGAGGCATCCCGCGATGGGAACACGCCAGCCTCCGGGGAACGGTCTAGGATAGTTATAGAGGTAGATGCGAACTCGGGGCGCTTCGTCAACGCGAGGGCGGTGCTGAGCCCGAATACCCCGGCACCTATGATTAGGATGCTAGTAGGGGGGTCATGCTTGGGGGTCATATCTGGATCGAGAGTGATATCTTGGAGGACTGGGGTTGGACAAGATAGAACCTCAGTCATGGGCCAACCTTCCGGGGACACTTGCGTTGCTAGTGGCATAACAACAATTATGTCCTAAGAAAAGGACATGAGAGTTACGAAGATATTAACAACTAGTATTAACAACGATAATATTCGACTTAGCTATGGACTATGAATTATATATATTTGGACTTATACTCCCCGCACCGGCGCCGATGTGGAAACCAGGTGGAGATATCCCACAGTTGAATACCGTTAGGCTATGTCTTGAATAGCGCCTTTGATTTGACTGGATGTAAGACTAGGTATGTAAGTGTAAGTGTAAGATACCATACGATTGGATCGTGTAATAAATACATGCAGTGTATCGTCGAAATTTAGTGGAGCGGGTCTGCCTTTATATGCTATGTATCTAGGTACCGGAGCACTTCGATGCTAAGCTTTTGCCTTATGTACGGATTACCTATGCATGTATTATGTAAGTGCTTAAGGTTGTATGTGTTATGTAACATTGATCCAAGGCATGTGAGATTGTATAGAATACTTCCGTAATCCGTAGTGAGGTGCCCACCCCAGTTAGCTTCCATTCTTTCATCAACCTTTAATGTTTCTCTAAATCTCCAATGCCAAACCACCATTCATTCTATTAACCAAATCCAAGCGCGATTTATTCACAAAATGCGACGTCCTACGTAATCATACTCCAAACAAATTTACCGATAATGTCTTCTAAGAAACTTGCCGACTTTCCTGACGTCGAGGCGAAGCTCCAGAAGCCGTCAAAGCAATCCGCGTTCGAGAAGCAGAAAGCTGATGCCGAAGCCAAACGTAAGAGAGAAGCTGCTGAGACCGCCGCAGTATATGAGAGTTTTGTCAAGAGTTTCGATCACGACGATGATGAAAATGACAATACGGGCCCTACTTCCCGTCCACCACTCGCATTTGGTGCTCGACCTCCGGGTGGTCCTCTCGGTCGCGAAGGTGGTAGGCCAGTACCGCCAAAGAGACATTTTGGCGGTGGGCCAGGCTTGAAGAGTGGCCCTGGATCTTTGGGCCCTGCGCCAACGTCCTTCGGTAGCAAGAGGAAGCTCGACAACCACCAACCGGGTTTCAATAGAAGAGCTGCGGATGATACCCGGGGTCGGCTCGGATTCCACGATGACGACGATAGTGACGGTGGTCATGTCCCACGACCTAAGGTTATTTCCAAAGTTTTTAACGCGAGCGACGACGAAGGCGACACGAGATCGAGGGACCTGGCCGAGCAGAAGGCTATAGCGAAGCCTACGCTCCGCCTAGCAAATCTTCCACCGGGAACATCTCCTGCTGTCATAAAAGCTCTTATGCCACCGAGCTTGACTGTAGAGAATGTGAAGATCCTACCTCCTCCTGCGGGAAGCACAGAGAGGAAATCAATCGCTGCTATTGTTACGCTGTCTAAGGAGACCCCCGCTACGGATATCGACGCGACAGTCAGCTCTCTACAGAACCGATATCTTGGCTACGGCTTCTATCTATCGCTACATAGGCATCTATCGTCTGCCGTAGTATCTACCACGGCTACGTCGAGCCTCACATCTTCGTCTACCTCACATGCCTTCGGCGCAAAGCCAGTCCCGCAAGCGAATGACAATAATTCTCATCATCCGGGTGGCTTTCACCGCGGGTTTGCTCCGCCATCGTCTTATAATACAGGGGGAGGACCGATAAGCCGAACTATTTTCCATGTCCCAGTGCAAGCGCCGAGAGACATCAAACAACTCCAATTAATCCACAAAGTCGTTGAATCTGTATTAGCTCATGGCCCGGAGTTTGAAGCCCTTTTGATGTCACGGCCCGATGTACAAAAAGAAGAGAAATGGGCATGGCTGTGGGATGCACGTAGCGAAGGCGGAGTGTGGTATCGGTGGCGACTCTGGGAAGTGATCACAGGCGGCCAAGCCAAGGTCGGCCGACAGGGAAAATATATACCGCTATTCGAAGGCAGCCACGCTTGGAGGGTTCCTGAAAAGGATCTGCCGTACGAATATACTACTGCTATCGACGAATTCGTATCAGACTCGGAGTATAACTCTTCTGACGAAGAAGACTACGAGGACGAAGGACACAAACCGATGGATGGCGACAACGAAAACACTTATTTGAACCCGCTCGACAAAACCAGGTTGACACACTTGCTAGCTCGTCTTCCGACGACATTGTCAAAGATTCGGAAAGGTGATATTGCTAGGGTGACGACTTTCGCTATCACCCACGCGAGCAGAGGCGCAGACGAGATTGTAAACATGATCGTAGCCAACATTATTAAACCATTTGCGTTAACTTTAGCAAATCCAGAGCGTGGCAAACCTAGTAAAAATGGAGAAGACTACGGAGAGTCGCACAACTCGACGCCCTTTCCCGACGACGCAAACGCAAAGCTAAGCGAGAACCAGGATACGAGTGCTGCGAGTCTTATTGGGTTGTATGTCGTGAGCGATATTCTCTCGTCGTCCGCTACGAGTGGGGTTCGGCATGCCTGGAGGTACCGCCAGCTCTTTGAGGTATCTTTTAAAAATAATAACGTCTTCGAGATTTTGGGCCTTACAGCGGAACGCCTCAATTGGGGTCGTCTGAGAGCAGATAAATGGAAACGAAGTGTCAAACTAGTGTTAGGTTTGTGGGAAGGATGGTGCGCGTTTCCGCATGAGAGCCAACAGTTT